GCAGTCTCCAAAGCCCATGGGCTGATTTCACCCATTTCACTCACGACTCCATCCACAACCTACTATGGAGCTCACATTCTCCAGCCACTTCCTAGAGACTTCTGGTTTCCTGTCAGCCATATAACAGGCTTGAAATTTGTCACTCGGTTCTAACAGTAAGTAAACAACGGAAAACTCAAAAGTCAACAACTCATTAAAATCCCTCAGAGATGGCCGGCACAGTGGCTAACAACTGTAATCCCAGCACTTTGGGAAGCCAAGGCGAGCGGATCACGAGGTCAGGAGATCGAGACCATCCTGGCAAACACAGTGAAACGCCATCTCTACTAAAAATACAAACAAATTAGCCAGGTGTGGTGGCGGGCGCCTGTAGTCCTAGCTACTGAGGAGGCTGAGGCAGGAGAATGGCATGAACCCAGGAGGTGGAGCTTGCAGTGAGCCAAGATCTTGCCACTGCATTGCAGCCTGGACAACAGAGTGAGACTCCATCTCAGAAAAAAAAGGAAAACGAAAAACTTGCTGTTAGAGAAATGAAGAATGTTTTTGATGCCTAGTGGTAGAATGCACACAGCTGAGAAAAGAATCCCTAACTTGAGGATGTGTCAATAGAAACTTCCAAAACTGAAAAAGGAAAGTTCAAAAGGAGTGGGGGAAAAAAATGGAACAATATATCCCACTTCATATTTAACATTTTGTATTGACAATAGCAATTTTTAAATTTTGTAGTTGTGGTACAACCTCCGGAACCTGTTGGAGGTGGCCAGGGGGTGCTATCTGATGGTTTTACAGCCTGTGCCACATACGATTGTTTCCTTATGATGATGCCATTTTCATAAGTTGGGGTTCTTTGTGTGGGGGACACATGAGCCACTGGCATCTCACTTAGACTCTTCCTGATTCACACAAACTTAAACTCTAGTTGTATTTCCTGAGGTTAAGAGAAAATGAAGAAAGCATTTCACATACCTCTTTTGGGCTCTTCCCCATTTTTCCTAACTCTGCACAGAAATTAGAAACAGGGATTTTTTACTATATTTACTAACATAACACATATCACTTCTTTTAATTTGGCATCATTCCTCCCTTTATGTAATTGACACACTGACCAGATCTGTCCCTTTAATGGGACTCTCTCTACTTAAGGAGTTGCTAATTTCAAATCACTTTTGGCATCTTTCTTTGAGCATAATGTGATCCTGTTGGAATTCACCCCACACCTAAACCTTAATTTGGTATCAAGATAAATACTACTAATAGCAATCGATCTTAGATGTTTGGACCATCAGTAAAAATTTCCACTTATGCAACATTTTAATGTTTCCTCCAAATCTTTTTTTGTTTCGTTACTACAGTCACAACATAACATGAGGTCTAAACTCTTGACAACTTTTTATAGGAAAATTACAGTACTACAAATTGAGCATCCCAAATCCAGAAATCCAAAATCTGAAATGCTCCAGAATCCAACACTTCTGACCACTGATGTGATGCTAAAAAGAAGTGCTCACAGGAGCATTTTGGATTTAAAACTTTTCACATTTGGGATGCTAACCCAGTACATCTACCATAAGTATTCCAAAATAAATAAAAAAGTTAGAATCCAAAAACCTTGGTTTTAAGCTTTCTGCATAAGGAACACTATATCTGTATGAACTATAGGCATGAAACTGTACAGGAGATCTCTAGAACCTCCTCATCCTGTATAACTGAACAGCACAGCCATGGAACAATGCCCTATTCCCCTGACCACAGCTCCTGGAAACTACTATTCTACGCTATGATTCACTCTGGAATTCACTGAGATAAGGTACATAGAGTAGTCTGACTCCTAGAATTAGAGAGTAGAATGTCTAATGAGAGAAAGTATCTGCAAGACTTCTTCCCACATATTGCTCTAATAGCCAGCAAACACATATGGTCCATGAGGGCCAGACTTCTGTCATCAGTTCATGTCCGCCCTTTCCACCAGTCAGTTCTGCGTTTGCAAACATCTACATGTATTTCTAGAAAGATATACATGGTCCTCACCTGCCCTCTACAGTGGGAAGGGAATATCATCGATGCAGAACAGCGAACATGGTCTTGGTCCAAAGCTATCAGCTCTTGCCTGTCCCCTTCACTCTTTGTAGGTTATTCCTTGGACTCCGCTCTATCTTTAGTGGTCACTGGCTCAAGTCACTTACTATGAGACAGCTGGGAAAACCGCCCCACCTTGTGGCTCCACTGCTGGTGACTGAACTGACCTCCAGGCTTGACTCTGGTCTCCCCTGTGTTATTTCTGCTCAAGTACCCAGTCCCAGGCCAGGCTTCCCAGTACCCAAAGGGTTTAAGGACAATGGGAACTTTCATCATCCATCTCTAAGATCCCCTTGGAAAGGGAAGCTGCAGAGAAAACATACCTTGGGGGCAAAGTAAGATTGAAACTAAGAAGATTCCAGCAATGCATGCTCCAGGTGAGGACCGCAAGGTGGGCCAGGCAGGCAGTTGGAGAGGGAGGGACTCAGAGAGGCACCTGGGGCTGTGACTGC